TAGCTCCAATAGGCATCCACGATCATGGGTATTTCCAATAATTTTAGCTGTCGCTGCTTACCAGGTACCCCACGTCGTCGTCCGTTTTCATCACTCTGATGGATTCTCAAAAAACATTTAAAATTCCAATAAAAGTAACATGTTGTTTGTTCGTTCTGTATGCCTAATCGATCGTCAACTGTTACCTTCTCCACTTCTGCGAATATTTTGTTCTTTATTCTTAAACCACCGATTATAACTAAAACCTCCCCCAAGGCTTCGTCAATCTTCTAATCCTTTGAAGACTATACTAATTGGACTAGACTTAACTAGACTTTTACTTTAAATATCACGACGTAATCGTCATGTAGCCATCGCTTTCGAACTCCAGCCAGCATCTCTGAAACAAACTTGCCTCCATAGCAAATCATTACATTACTCAATTGTTCGTTTCCTTACAAGTTGATACTCTCGAACCAAGCTGTATTTTAATTTCGTAGGAGTGATAACAATTTGATAATAACTGTTATAAATGGAAGCTGTGCACGCATTGTGGTAAAATGGAACGAGCGTTAATTACGAAAAATTAATTCGGCTGTTAATAGGTTAACTTTCGTAATTCATATTTCAACTCAATTGTGAATTATGAGTGAACGATGATTCTGGTATACAAAATATCACACTTACAGATGGTAACGTCTTAAAAATTATTACTGGAATTATCATTTATTTCTTGATTGATATTAATTCAGTGGTCACTCTTGAGTTATTCATCTTGGAGGGTTTGTGGGCGAGAAGATGGTAACTCACAATTTATGAATGAACAGAAAAGTTATGAAAAGAGCCTGAAAATCTGTGATTCATCGCAGTATTTGATCTTGGAATATGTTTATGGACAGAATGACACGTGGTTTTTAAAATAAATAATAAATAGGAAACTATTCCAGTCATAACAAAACAAATATTTAAATGAAAGACGTTTATATTTCTTTTAAGAGATCCTCCTGCATCTGTCGTTGAAATATAATTTTTGTCGTATGGAATCATCGCCAACTATTTATTGTATTTTTCCAGTGATTCTTGATTTTTCAAAATAAACTTTTGAACAAAATCAAGTTTTGGCTTTATTATTGACCAGATCGCTTTTGCAACACAACAGCCTCATGTGGGTTGTCATACTATTGTCGATGACCTCTCATTTATTTTCATTTTATTCCCCTTCCTAAGGTTGTTTCTGAGTTGAAATGATATAGTAGTATAATGAAGTGCTCGAATGAGAGGAACGATTGCGCTTAAAATATCGGTTTGGAACATTCAGTGTCAGAACTCTTTGAAGTTCTTTGAATAAGGTTTCTACAGTTTTGCTTGTAGTATTATGGCGTTACCAACATGAATAAAACTAGTGGTGCTACAAAATGGCACAGACTTTCCCGCATTAGTTTTTTACTTCCTTTAGTCTCGGCTAGCTACTCGGATTTCCACATACTCTTGCCAGCTGTATTGCCACATACTCTTGCATACTCTTGTCAGCACATACTTTGCCGCCCAAAGTACATTTTTTTAAATTTTCTTAATTTTTGTGGTTTCTTAATAGAAAATCGGAAATATTATTTTAATAATATTAAAGAACAGGAAAACTTCGCCTCAAATGGCAAGTTTCTTTGAAACCTTTGGAGCCGTTTTTAAGAAAAATGGCGATTAAGCGCTACTGTAAATGCGAAATTTGAACCTCTTTGCACAGAAAACTATTGATTTTGCGAAAAACGTCTTATGAAGTAATTTCAAGAACTTTCAGTCATAAATGAAAAGTGTTTACAAATTGCTGGAAACTAGATGCAAATTAAAAGCGTGGAAGATCCTCCAAAGAATTAGATTAGTGTATTTAAAAAATTATATACCCGGAAATAAATTATTTTAAATCTACATAATATGACTAATGAATTTACATATTTGGAGCAGAGAGCATTTTGAGAAAATAGCGTTTGAGTGTTTCTGAAAATGCGCAAGTTTGAGCTCATTTTCACAGAAAATGATAAAGTTTTCGAGAAACTTTATCTGACATTATTTAAAGCACATATGCTCATAAATACAATAATGTGAACAAATTGCCGCTAATATAAATATTAACGACGTGAGAGACAAGTCAAATTACATTTTTGTATTTTTTGAAGAAAAAAAGAATAGAGGAAAACGATTTTTATAGTACGTTTATCATTATTCCTACCAAAATTTTAAAGAAAAAAATTGGAGCCGTTTTTGAGAAAATCTGTTTTTGTATTTTTTTAAAAATTGCACATACATGATTTCACGCAATATTGCGTGAAGGCTACTAAAATTGAAAATGAATTAGTATGAATTCTCGGCTATCCGGGAGACGCCGCGTCGTTGGCTGGGGTGCCGACGTTTCGCCTGACATGTCGCAGGCTTCCTCAGGGCTGTGCAGTCCGAGTCGGATTCGGATTCTTTGAAAACGTGTTAAAAAGACATTCAACTTTGGAACTAATTTTGAGGAAGTGGTGACAGAAGCCATGTCAAAATTTATCACTTAATTATGATAACAATGTGATAAACAGATCTTGTGCATGATATATGAACAAATTAATTACTTAATAAACAAATAGAGATATATACTTCGTAATATCAATCTTATATTAATGAATCAATAATTTGCGTGAATTATCCTTCTTCTCAAATGGGATTATAATGATAATATATAAATGCATCGTTAATTGCTCTTTACCATATTTATTTAGCCTCGTCCAATCAAACATATCAGAGTAATATAGCATATTATATATTACACACAATATTATATTTCTGATTCAGAGCTTCTGATCTTTTTCCTAGTAACTGCAACTGTGGCGAGTAGCTGGATGGCACCTGTGGGACTGCAGGTAAGCCTCCGACCGCACAAGTAGTTTGCACCAGATCTCGTTGCGTCATGGCCCAACCGCGCAGTCGCTGGCGCTCTGTTACAGTCTTCGCAACAACAATCGCTCGGGCTACCGTGGCGAAATGCCAAGGCAATTATACAAATATCGTTAATTAACCTACAACATTTCCCCATCTCAATCGAATTTCCTGGAACCCGTACTCGGGTACGTGTTTGGACGATATTAGCTTTTAATTTTCACTTCCTTGCGTTGGGCCCACGCCGCTGCGTGATCGGTGTTTGGAAAGATAACGGCCTGATCGCTTTCTGCGGTGTATTATAATCCCTTTTAATGATGTATTCCATGTTTGTTCTCCGTGATGTTTGCATATACAGCAGCACTGCCGAACCAGTACTCCGTTGCGAGTGTGTTTCCGTGAACTGCGATAATGTGGATATAACACCACATGTATTTACAACGTATTAATTAAAATTACCCGCTAGTTTTATTGAGTGGAGGAAACCAATAGAATAATTTCGAGACAGTTTTTAGGGAAAGTTATGTAGTTAAAGTAATTTTAAATAAGAAATGTTATGCTTTTACCTTAATGCATGTCAATGAGAAAGTGGCGTGTTCAAAAGTTTACAAGTTTTTACACCATATAAAAATCTTTATTGACTTTAAAGAGCACAAGTTTTCTTTATAAATTTAAAGGCAAATAAGAGTGTTTTCCATACAGTTTTATGTTGCAATTTGTAGTCAGTTATAAAGTAATATTAAGATGTCATAATAAAACTAATGATTATCGGAAATTTTAGAATGCTAGGTTTTCTAAAAAACACACAGTGGCTTCAGTTTTACAAGTAAAATCCGCAAAGGAGTAGCAACTGAACAAAGTGATGCCACTTCCTGGTTGAATAGGGCACAAGTGTTGAGGTCAGGAGAACGTCGTCTAATTTGAAGTCGTGAAGGAATGTTCAAGCAATTTTGAAGAAAAACACAGCGTATTTCCATTCCTGTGTGTTTTGAAGAATAATCAGACCATGTGGTTTCTTGGAAATGGAGCAATGAGTGTCTACTTAAAAAAATCATTTTATGTGTAAAGTATTTTGAAACTGGATAATAACACATTTTATTGGGAAGCTCGTAATTGCATTGCTTTCAACATTTGGTAGGTGACATTCTAAAACAAAGAACTATCTAAAATGTTAAGAAATGTTAAGAATTATTTGTTTAGTAAAATGTATTAATTTATTGATACAAGTATTCAAAATATACAATTATTTAACAGTTTATTAAATACGTATTTTGAAGTCGAAAGAGTTGGCGATTATTTAGGAAAAGTCGTCTGTAAATTGTGTATGCGACAATGACTTGAATGAGTGTAAAACTCAAAACGTGTATGCGACAATGAAACTTGCGGGTTATTTAATGGGTTCTCTGTTTTATTAAGACGTTCTTTCAAGTTTTCTGTAAATCACTCTTGATGAAATCGTTCGCAACGTTCAAAATATATAATTATCTTTTCGTTGAGAAATAATTTCTTTGTCAAGCTTACGCAATTTACATGAGTATGGAATCTCTTTTTGCAGCAATATAATATACTTTGATTTTACAGAATTCTTTCAGTATTCTTTGTTCTGTAGCAAATTAACTTCTATAACAACTCTATAAAATCATTTTACTGTTCACTGCAGTAGCATTAGAGAAGAAACGAGATCATATAAAAGCGTAATAAAAATGTTAAAAAGGAGCTATATCCCCACCCGAAAATGAGTCTAATCTATTAACACACTATAAAGCAATCAACACCTTTCCTGATTCCCTCAGTGCTAATATTTGAATGTAATATTTGAATTATGATTATTAGTACAATTCTTTAGTAGTATTAATTAGCAAGAAAGTACGTCAATTTTGTCACTTCCTTTTATTTTTTAACTTTGAATGTTGCCTCAGATAGGAAAAAAGAAAAATAGAAAGGAATACGAGAAGAAAATAAGATATGAACACTTTCAAAAACATAAAAAATACATCACATGTGAAGGAATCTAAATAAACTCTCGGAACGAAAATATTTCCTAAAGACTTCTGCTGTTCAATTCCTTAACTATGAGACTGACTTATTATCACTCGATATTGCTATCAAAATATACAATTTTAAAACTCCATTTCTACTAGTTACTGGATAATTTTGTATTTCTGTACAATAGTTTAAAAAGGATCATCTATACTGATGACATCCACATTTTGATATGCTTCTTATCGCGGTTCAATAAAGGTTAGAAGTACATTACTTTTTAAAATTTACACTGCAGATTTACAATGTATTAATATATCATTGTTACCAATAAATTTCTACGCGTTAACTTTCACACATTTCCTACTCTTTTAATTAATTTCTACAAATATCAACATAAACTGTAATCGCTGAATTGCCATATCGTTCTTCTAAGACATTCCTTTCGCCAGCCCTCGTCTTTAGACGCCACATGTATAGCAGCGGAGTCGTTAACTCGACCGCGGCGTGTGCCTGGTATTCGGCCAACTTTTCTCGGCCGGGAGGGAACAATTGGAGAAAGTGGGCGGCAGGCTCGCCCCGCCCACAAAGCAAACTCCTCCTTTCCTTCTTTTTGCTTTGACTCGCCGTCTTTTTTCCGAGGCCGCGTGCGGCAGCGCACCGTGCGAGACGCGAGGGCGGCTGAGGCAGCGGGGTCGGTGCAAGGTGGAACCACAACACCCGGTCAGCCCGAGCGGCGGAGGCGGCGGCCTACAGCACTGGTTCGGAAAGGACAAAAACGGAACCCTTTTTTTGATCGGGAGTTCTCTCGGTTCGTGTGGCAACGGTGGCAGAATTTTCGATACTAGCTATATAGCTAGGCTCAGTTCCGAAGGTGTCTGAGGGACGATTCAAGCGGCCGGCTACTCTGATTTCTCCCATCAATACCAGGTGAATGCCGGAGCAGTACCCTAACAAACGGACCACGGACCGCGCGCGATCTTTCCTTCCTCTTCCTTGTTCTATTCTCTCTTCTTCCTTAGACACACAAACACATACTCACATGCACTACACTACAATACTTGTCAGGAGATTAGTCGGAGGCTTACAGCTTTATTCCGTCTGGGGCAGTGCCCTGTCTGGATATTGAGAACCCCACATGCGTGCACGTACGAGATAATGACCACAGCAGTTGATGCGCCCTAAAACATTAAATAATGAATTAATCTATCGCAAATTTTAAAATGGGTGTGCCAGTCTGTGGTAAATAATTGTATCAACTCGCTTTAAGCATTTACCACAGATTGTTGCACTTTAATCAGATATTGATGTCAAGTATATCTCATTCTAATTGCTTTCCGTCGAACAGCATTAGCATGTAAATTTAACTTCCTAAAGCTGACTTTACCGCGCTCTGACGTTCTGACTTGACCGCTCTTTCTTACAGCATAGTAATCAGTTTTTGGAAGAAAGGGAAAAAGAGAGCAAGAGTGGAAGTTCAGGTACTTCTCAACACCAGAGTCTATCTGCATCCTGCAGGACCATTTAGCCTTAGTAATAAACACATAATTGGTGCGTGGATGAATCCCTCGCAATATATCAATAAGCAGTGTACAGAATGTGGCCATAACGGCGCAAAATTGTGTTAATTGAAAGCAGCACTTGGTATATGTGAGACATTATCATTAAATATATACATTAGAGATAAAATTACTAATTATATAATTATTCTAAGTATTAATTTTTTTTTGTAATTGTAGCAAATATATTTAATAATCCATTTCTTCATTTTATTGTACTTTGTATTGATTGAGATTGCACTATTAAACTAATCATTTATTCAATTTTTTAGCTTCCAAACATATGAACATACAATGAAACAATTACCGGTTACCATGCTATAATATATTCATGAATTCAGCATTTGGCAATGTACCAAAGCAAATAAAGTGTGGAGAAGTTGAACATAGGTCTCCTAGTAATAATCTGTGGGCAATGTCATTGTTGTAACTGTAGGTCAAAGTGCAGATGTTTACCAAACTCTGGAATGTACCTGGACCCTCGCTGAAACAATGCATAGATAATGCGCCGTGAGAATTATTCATTTTTTTGTTTGTTTTCTTTTATTTTGAACCACTGTTTGTCGGCGGCAGTAGTGGTGGTGGCGGTTGAGGTGGAAGTGGCGGGAGCTCCTCGCCACTCCGCGCCGCTCCGCTCCGCACCGCACAGGTCGTGATGTTCGTGTCAACATTCAGGCCAGATAATTAAC